GTATGCCAGTCTGCTAGTATTGGCCTGTTTTATCAGTTCATTGATGTTACTGCAGAGGCATGTAGTGTTAGTGACTAGGTACTATACATCAGAACATAATACATATATTAAAGAGCTTTATTGTAATTTGTGCAAGATCTGTTTTAAGGCTTTAGGATACAAACTATAAAATTATATGTAAAGGTTAAGGCAGATAGGAAAAAAAAACACCAGTTCTTGCATGTATGTGTTCATTACATAAAAAGTATGCTTTTTAAAAAATTAAAATGAATTTAATAGAAGTACCTGCAATTCAGTTTGGGAGAGGTAGTAGCAGGTCTAGCAGGCAATTAGGTGCCCTGCACTGCTCATATACCAGCATGGATGGAACAGGCTGGCAGGAGGAAAAAAGCATGGCATACATGGGTCAGCCAGTAGGCTGAATGGATTTCCCAATCCACACAAGTGAGGTAGATAGATGAAACCTCCCTGCTGTGTTATTGTATTCTGACAGCGGGGACTCCTCCACTGTCAGAATACACTTACCAGCGTTGCGGCCAATTGGCTGCAGCGTTGACCAAACAAAATTTTTCAGCAATCCCATTTGTGAGAAGTAGAGCATTAGACTGACTTCTTATGAATTGGAACAGCCATAAATAGATCAAAGTTCAGCCAGTCTCTGCTGAACTGGCTGATTTTCCATCCATCTATGGATGGACAAGAGGTGAGATTGCTGCTTCTCCTTCACTGTTCATTCAAGACCTAGCACTGTTACTTCAGTAGAGAAGTCAGAACTAGATGGTTTAAAATCTAAATCATTTGGCATATAAAATAGTTCTCATGTATTTATTTAATCTGTGTATTGGCTATATGCCTCAAGTTCGGCTTTAGTACAGAGCAGCGTAGACTATAAATGACGGAACAGCAAAATATTTCTGCCAGACGTACAACGAACTATCTGATGCAACCTAAATGTACATAATCCTTAAATGTACACGCTATAGTGAACTGCTGATCCAAAGAACTGACTTAACCAAATTCACATGGTTTTCTAAGTACTGAAGATAACCGTAGATCCTCACAGCACTGAGGTCATATGACTTAATACTATAATGTGTAACGTTAGTATAGTTAGCACGCAACTATATTTTTTGCCAATCATGAGGGGAATACAATAAAGCATTTAGAATGCTTTCTTGGCAGTTCCATTAAAATGTACTGCAGCAAATTCCTGAAAGCCTTGCAGCCATTTTGGTAACCATTTTGACATTTTCAACAGATTCATGTAGTGATTTGTGTTACTTTCACAATATGTCTCTATGCTGCTGCAAATCCAAGAACTACCTTCAGCTCGTAGACTACAAAACCAGAGGTAATTAGGACCAACTTAAAGTTGGTATACAGACAGAAATACAAGTTATCGGGGGAGGTGTTCTTTTTATTGTGTATTTGCTTTATTGGTTGCTTGGATGCAGACTGCCAGTGTCCTAGCAACCATAAATGCAGGGCTGAACTTGGACAGTGGACAAAGCCTGATGAGGGTGCTGAGACTAGTTCCCCATCAGGTCCACCTGACTTGTGATTGACAGCAGATGGTGGCAGACAGATTCCAGAACAGATATTGGACTGAATAATGGTTATGGGATCTGCCTTCAGCCACCCACTGTCATTTACATGAGAACCAGACCCACTGAGGAACTAGTCTTGAGTTCCCCATCAGGTTCTGCTCATCCCAAAACTCCCCACAACCCCATGGCTGCTGTGTATTAGTGGGAACTCTGGTGGACGAGGTGGAGATTAAGTCACCAATTCACTGCTCCATCTCATCAGTCAGAGAATACTTCGCATTCATTGAGAAAATGTAAGCGTTCTTTGAATGGTGGTCGCACTGAGCAAGCAAATTCTTGTGCTCACTAAGCATCAGGGTAGCTGCTTGGCACAGGACCTGGCAGCCAGCAGCAATTACTGTAGTAGCAGTGCCTACTACGGTGATTTCCACCTTCTATGGGGATTTTGCAGGTATGATACATACAGGGTGCAGCAACATAACTTCCTTTTTTCAAAACGCAATAAAACCCATTTTATGAATCAGAATTGTTTTTATTGTCTTTAATAATGTAGGTACATGTCTAAAGTTCTGTTTTACACAGTTTTGAAAATCATATCAGGTAGTGACGACCCCCCCCCCCCCCCCCCCCCCCCCCATTGTCCATACACTGAATAAGTGAATTCAGACCGGTATGTGAACATGTTGGAGGAATTTGTTTTTCCATGACTTGATGAATTGGACTTAGGGGACATTTGGTTCCAACAGGACAGAGCAACGGCTCACACTTCAAGAGCATCAATGGCTGTTTTAAGGGAACACTTCCCGGAGCGCCTCATCTCAATAAGGGGCGATTTGGAGTGGCCAGTCCGCTCCCCCAATTTGGCCCCTTGCGACTTTTTTTTTTTTTTGTGGGGTTTTTTGAAATCCTGCATTTATGTAAACCGTCCAAGGACCCTACAAGACCTGAAGGCCAACATCCGCGCAGAAATTGCCAACATACCCGCTGCTATGCTGGTAAGGGTCATGAAAAACGCCAGAAATCGGCTTATTCAGTGTATGGACAATGGGGGGCATCACCTACCTGATTATGATTTTCAAAACTGTGTAAAACAGAACTTTAGATATGTACCTACATTATTAAAGACAATAAAAACAATTCTGATTCATAAAATGGGTTTTATTGCGTTTTGAAAAAAGGAAGTTATGTTGCTGCACCCTGTACATACATACATACATACAATCTGGACCAATATGTGACTATGCAAAAATGATGCACACTTAAACTTAAGTTTTAAAGATTTTATTTTTTTGTTTTTTTTGGTTACAGGCTAGCTGCTATCTGTTGAAGAATATGCTATGTTTTTATTTTTCAATTTATGAACAAATATTTATAGAACTATAAGCCTACATGCACACTAGCTTTTTTAAGCTAAAAAAATACTGGATAAAAAGCACTGGTAATGGTAGTAGTCTTAAATTTGATTGTTAAAAATATTGATTGCTTGCATTGCTATCACAATGTTGATGGTATAAAATGAATGTATAAGCCGTGACAATAGATTTCCTTTAAGGATCACCCTAACATCCTGGTGCTGCCATGGTAACAAGCAAACCTAGTATAAAGTATAAGTTAACTATTTGTAGCATATGACATGTTGCACCAATATTCAGGGAGTAATAAGCAACATGTTATGAATAGACTGGCCAAACCCCCCCAAATCCCCATTGTGACAGCTAGTGAGGGGGATCTTCTCCCTCTCACTAGCTGTCACAATTTAAAAAAAAAAATGCCGGCGGTGGGGGGCTCCACCCACCTGGCCGTGTCACACATTCACGGTGTTCTGTGAACGAGGACACTACAAGTTGCAGTTGTGGCCTGTGGTTCTCAATGAACTACCAATGCACTGTGGAAGCGCTGTGAGTCTTACTGTCAGTAAGTATCTGCTTTCCCATACGAGGTGTACGGGCACACAAGTACACTGACAGGTCTGCAGAAGACATGGCATGGCACCAGCAATCTGCTGAACACTGGTGCAATGTTTTACAGGCTCAAGAAACAAAATATATAATGAATGCACATTTTTTTACCTGCAAAAAAAAAAGCATTTATTGTTTTTTTTGTTAAAAGGTAAACTTCTCTTTTAAAAAATACTACATTCATGCAATTTGTAGTTGTGTTTAGTACAAAATTGTTTACCCACTATTAGATTAGGTTCACACCTATGCAGGTTGCACCTGCATTTTTGATGCGTTTTTGCAGTGTTTTTTTTTTTTTTTTTTTCATTTTTTAAACCTTTTTCTTGTTGCTAGGTAGATTAAAAATGCAGCGCAAACTTTTCTGCAGTATTTTCATTGAAGTTTACAGAACCAAAAATGCAACTTTTTACTTTCAAAAAAGTCCCTTACCATTTCCAAAAACTGCACCGGGTGAAAATGCACAGATGTGAACAAGTCGCATAGGAAATCATGTTAAATGGACTGTACCGTGCTTCTGCAAAACGCTGCAGAAAACGCTTAGGTGTGAACATAGGGTTAAAGAAAGTTTGTACTGAGATACTGTAGGTCTGTAACCTGCCATTGTTGACCTTCAGGAAATACTAGTTGTTTGGCGGTATTAGTCTTTTTGTGCCTTTTGAGTCATTAAATTCATTGACTGCTAACAAAACAAGTATGCATTCAATGAAGTTAAAACTCAAATCTCTATGCTCTTTTTTTGTGTCATTGAGTACCCAAATATTGAGGCCAGTAAATCAAGCTGGCCATAGATGGTTAGAATTTTTGTTTTTTTGTTTAGCCAGTAGGCTGAACAAACAAAAATCAAACCAATTACTCCATCCACACAGCAACAAGCAAGGTGGATTGAGGAATTGCCCTCTTCTGGGATATTTGTATTCTGGCAGCCACTGACCAGCAAGAGCTTTCTGACTTTTCTGTTTGACAGAAATCAATCTGATGATTGACTTCTGTTGCAAAGAGAGAGCCACACAGTGATCAGAATTTGACCGGTCCCTCCAACTGGCTGTATTCCGATCTGTCTACGGCCAGCATGTGACAGTCAGGAAAATATCAATATCAGCAGGAGTGGTAAACTGTATTTACTTCTCCGTGCAGGTTTCTTTGAAGGCTCTGTAGGTGCTTTCTGATGTGAGTTCTGTTTGTTGCCATTGCTCAAATTACTTCAACTATCATTATTGTCTGCTGGTAAGACTGTTCCTACTTGAATAAGTCTGCAGCTGGGAGGAAGTTCATATCCCACTGAAGACACAAGACCTTGTTTAGTCTTTGGTATTCTTAGATTCAAATATGTGTCTGTGCCCTCATGGATGTGCGTCCATTGTTTTCTATTCGTGTCACTATTAAATGTCTCTTGTGTTTTGTTGCCTATGTTTTGGAGTCGGGCACATTGTATTGTGTTGGCCATATGTCAAATGTCAGTCAATACTAAGCTTGGGTGTATTCCTACTTTCAGAGAATGACGTCGGAGGTGGAGGACGAAATCCGGCTTATTAGTGGAGGGGTGTCTGAGCCACTAGTCATACAGGAGCTTCTGGAAAGATTACGAGAGCTTGAGGTGAGACAAATGCTAATATATGTATTCCCTTGTAAACAAACTATGGGAATTTATGGCAGCTTCCCTTAATGAAATGAGGTGATTTTTAGAGCAGCCAGATTTTTATTTGGGGGGAAAAAACGACAAACCTCCATTTACTAAATGTCATTGAACACTTTGAGAGTCAATAATGATAAAAAGCTGTACATATGCTGAGTCGCTGGTAAACAGGTGCAATAAAAATGTCTCAAAGCTGATCGCTGTTTTATACCACCAAATTGTTCTTCAATTATCTGCTTCATATACATGTCGACTAAAAGGGTTCCGTTAGCTGTGCATTTTGATGATATGAAAGAATGAATCTGTATTAATGATTTTCAGTGAGTAAGGGGTCATATGTGTACTCTGCAGCCACCTTGCTACCTCCATATTGGTTTAGTCACAGCAAGAGTCTCTACTGCCAATTTGAAATTGGAATAAATAGAAAAGTCAGGGGGTTAATTGTGATGATTTCCTTTTATTTGGAGTATCAAGAGCATCCCTGCTGCTGTTTAGCAATTGGACCTCCATCTGCCAATTATTTCTCTCCACTGATTGGTGAGGTAGGTAAAAACATGGTATAGGACTTGGGAATCATTCCCTAGAAATTATACATTTAGAAAAAAGTAGATGTTACAAAAAAATTGATCTTTTTAAAGGAAAAACTGTAATTGTATAATGCCCTGCTAATCCTGTAAGCCCTGCTAAACCTCCTTATTTGGAGAAATCTGCACTCCTTAGAACAGATTCCCTAGGACTCTGTTGATAAAGGGTCCAAATCCATTACTTTTTTTATTGCTGTAAAGTGCAAGTCAAGGAGATAGATAGATAGATATAGATATAGATATATCTATATATATATATATATATATATATATATATATATATATATATATATAATACACACACAGTGGATATAAAACGTCTACACGCACCCATGTTAAAATGCAAGATTTCTGTGATTTTACAAAATTGGACAAAGATAAATAATTTCAGAACTTATTCCACATTTTAATGTGACCTATAAACTGTACAACTCAACTGAAGAAAACAAACTGAAATCATTTTTTTTTCTTTTTTTGGGGGGGGGGGGTTAACATAAAAAACAAAATTAATGTGGTTGCATAAGTGTGCACACTCTTTTTTATAACTGGAGATGTAGCTGTGTTCAGAATTAAACAATCACATTCAAAATCATGTTAAGTAGGAGTCAGTACACACCTGCCATCATTCAAAGTGCCTCTGATTAACCCCAAATAAAGTTTAGCTGTTCTAGTAGGTTTTTCCTGACATTTTCTTAGTCATATCCTACAGCGAAAGCCATGGTCCGCAGAGAGCTTCCAAAGTATCAGAGGGATCTCATTGTTAAAAGGTATCAGTCAGGAGAAGGGTACAAAAGAATTTCCAAAGCCTTAGATATACCATGGAAGTGCAGAAAAATAACTCTTTGGTACAAAAGCACAGCTCTGAATTCTGAAGCACCTAAACGTGGTTTCAGCCCTATGTACTTCATTTCTAATGTATTACAAAGAACACAGACTTCTCATTTATTCTCTTCCATATGTACATAACGCCTCCTTGTGCACAGGCAGCTCACAAGATTTCTGGTAGGATCAACAGGTATTTTTTTTGGAACTGATATAACAAACCCTTTCTGTGATATACTTAATAGATCAAGAGGGATCACGTAAGAGAATCTCATTGTTATGGTTTACAAACGCTCTAAATTAAGACTGCATCATATTATTAATCTATATTTCTATAACTCTTCTCTTCCTGGGGACTCAAAGAACTTTTCAGAATGATGTTGAGGCAGATAGTAAATGAAGCAGCCATCTTCCTAGATTGTAAGCTCGAAAGAGCAGGGCCCTTGACCCCCTCGTGTTTTGTTTTGTTATTGTATTGTCTCATGTTCTGTCCCCCACTATAATTTACAGCGCTGAGCAAACCTTTTACCGCTATTTAAATACTGTATAATAATAATCTTGGACATACTCAATGGAATATCATACTATGACCAATTGTACTCTGTTGTAATTGAACCTACCAGCATGTCTTTGGAGCGGGAGAAGAAACTGGGGTACCCAGAGGAAGCCCACCCAAGCACAGGGAAAACATGCAAATTCCATGCAGATAGTGTATTCGTCTGGATTAGAACCAAGGACCCTAGTGATGTAAGACAAAAATGCTAATCACTAAACCACCGTGCTTCCCAGTTTTTGCTCCCAACACAAAGGTGATCATGTCACTGAAATCCAATCCAGTTACAGCAAATTACTTCATCGCTCAAGCTATAACATGCCACAGTATCGACATTGCATAGTATTGCATGATAATGTTTAAACCAGGCTGAGTCTAAGTTAGATCAAAGGTTGCAAGGTGCAGGTCATCTGTAATTAAAAAGTTATGAGCTGGAGACAGCTTCACAGTTGACAGCACAAGGTGTGGAGGGGTCGTCTATATACATCTTTTCTCCAGAGGAAGCAATAGGAGTATGAATCTGGACCTCATCTAGCTTTAAAGCCCGGGGAAAGCTGCACTCCTTCTGCACCCTATTTGACTCCTTTATGTATATCAGGGATTATTAGAATTATTACTCATAGAAGGATAATTCTGCTGTAAGTTGTAATTTTTTTTTGAATGTATCTTGCAGGCTGAAAACTCTGCTCTTGCCCAAGCCAATGAAACTCAGAGGGAAACATATGATTGCCTTGATGAGGTACGTTGGATTGTTGTATGGTTTGTGAAGACTATAAACTGCTTGCTGTAGTAATATCTATAATATGATTGCTATCCATGTGACTGGGAAGCATCATACTTCGGAACTGGAAGATAATTTTTTTTTTTTTTATTTAGATTTTTATGTGATCGGAACTGCCCATTACGGTTTTGTGTGTAATATGAACCCAGTACTGAAGGCAGCTTGGGGGGGGGGGGGGGCTATTAAATACAATGGACTGTCTATGAAACACACTTGTCCATGCCTCAATAAGAGGTTAGACACTGAAATAGCAGTGTGCTCCAGACAGCTGCGGGAATGCAAATATTTTACAGCCCACGGCTGGCTTCAATTATTGTGTCACCCATGTGGAATGCCAGAAATCTCATTCGGTATTCGAATCCTGAAGATAAGACCTAATACACATAACTGGGCACACGGCTCCTAAGACTTTAGTTGAGCACAAGGCTGTCCTATGACGTTGTGTTAAAGAACAGCTTAAACTAACTTGGGGATATTGGCTTTGAAATCTCTATAGTCTTAAGCTGTATTTGAAAGTAATTTTTTCTTACTTTGTGCCAGAGATTTAAACATTCAAATAGAGTAGGATTGGTAAGGATATCTGTTTAATTGCATGGGTTCCTCGGTGTTCTGATTGGCTGAGATTTCAGAGGCTCTTAACTTTGTACCAGGTGTTTGTGCTGTGCTAAAGTTGATTCTGAAAAAACTACCACTGAAGCATGTAATAATGCGAATATGTTTTTCTCTGCCGTGATGTAGTGGTGAGGTAGTAGGTCACCACTGGTCAGTTAAGGGTTTTTGAGGCAATCTGTTAACAAATTGGTGTATGTAATTTTTCATTGAACTCATAACAAAGCCAGGCAATGGTCCGATTTACTAGGTACTAAGGCCCTCTAAGACTTCCAACTTATTCTATAATTGCAGCGTAAGGCAGGCCACAGATGATGCGATTTTGATTACTACAACCACAGATTGCAGGAAAGAAAATTACTTGATTTCCGCATCAACAGTCAATATTGATGTGGGAATCCCTCCTGTGGAGCAATTGTGTTCTATTGGCAGGAGGTATGGGTAACCTTCCCAGCCTTCAAAGAATATGGTAATTATTGCTGGTGGCTGTAGTCACTGGTAATAATTGCATGTAAAAATCTGACATACTGGTTTTACCCAAATCAATTAATGGATCAACTTAGGTACAATCGGCCTTTGAATCTCACCTGGTCTTTGCTGAACCGGCTTAGATTAAAACCATCTATGGCCAGCTTAGGTGGTCACACAGATACCACAGGAAGTCTCGTGAGTTAATTGAAATAACTGTTACAAATGTTTTTGTGAAAAACTTCATAGTTTCTAAAGGTGGAAATGTTATTTTCAGACAAATGTATTCTTTACAAACAAGGTTCAAAATGTGGTGTTTATACTACCCTCTCAGTCTGTATTTCTAGTCATTATTTAATACATTTTGAAATCTCATTGAATTTGGAACTGCAGGTCTTCATGGTTTGCTCAAGTGCCTAGGAGAACTATACCAAACTCGAACATATTCCTCTGATCCTTTGGCAATGGTGCAATGTACTGAATGATGAGACTGTGATGAATTATGCCCAATTACATTTTTTGTCAGTTTTACCTATTTTCCTGTTTTTATAGGTTGCAAACCATGTTGTGCAGGCACTTTTAAATCAAAAGGTAAGCATAAACTGTTCTTGTTACTTTTCTTTTAACAGGTAATTCATTTAGGTACTGTTTTTTGCTGATAAAATATTTTCATATATTTGATAAAAAATACACTATATTACCAAACGTATTGGGACGCCTCTCCAAATCATTGGATTCAGGTGTATAAAATCAAGCACCTAGGCATGCAGACTGCTTCTACAAACATTTGTGAAAGAATGGGTTGCTCTAAGAAGCTCATTGAAGTCAAGCGTGGTACCGTGATAGGTTGCCACCTGTGCAATAAGTCCATCCGTGAAATTTCCTTGCTATTAAATATTCCACGGTCAACAGTTAGCTTTATTATAACAAAGTGGAAGCAACTGAGAACAGCAACTCAGCCACGAAGTAAAATGACAAAGCGGAGTCAGTGCATGCTGAAGCTCACAGTGCGCAGAAACTGCCAACTATCTGCAGAGTCAATAGCCAAAGACCTTCAAACTTCGTGTGGCCTTCAGATTAGCACAACAACAGTAAGTAGAGAGCTTCATGGAATGGGTTTCCATGGCTGAGCAGCTGCATCGAAGCCTTACATCACCTAGTGCAATGCAAAGCATCAGATGCAGTGGTGTAAAGCATGCCACCACTGGACTCTAGAGCAGTGGAGATGTGTTCTCTGGAGTTGATGGATCATGCTTCTCTGTCTGGCAATCCAATGAACATGTCTGGGTTTGGCAGTTGCCAGGAGAACGTTACTCCTCTGACTGCATTGTGCCAAGCGTAAAGTTTGGAGGAGAGATTATGTTGTGGGGTTGTTTTTCAGGGTTTGGGCTTGGCCTCTTCGTTACAGTGAAGGGAGCTCTTAAGGAGTCAGCATACCAAGACAATTTCATGCTCCCAACTTTGTTGTCCCAACTTCTGTTCCAACATGACTGCGCACCAGTGCACAAAACAAGGTCCATAAAGACATGGATGAGTGAGTTTGGGGTGGAGGAACTTGACTGGCTTGCACAGAGTCCTGATCTCAACCAGATAGAACACCTTTGGGATAAATTAGACTGTGAGCCAGGCCTTCTCGTCCGACATCAGTGCCTGAGCTCACAAATGTGCTTCTGGAAGAATAGTCAAACATTCCCATAGACACACTCCTAAACCTTGTGGACAACCTTCCCAGAAGAGTTGAAGCTGTTAAAGCCGTTTTGAACCCTATGAACTAAGACTGGAATGCCATTGAAGTTCATGTGCTTGTAAAGGCAGGCGTCCCAATACCTTTGGCAACTTAATGTATGTAAAGGAGGTAACGTTTAAATGGTGCACCATTGCAATTAGTGGCAGCATACATTATTTCTAATTACTGTCAGTCTCCAACATTGCAGTAATACAGTCTTGAGTTCAAAAGCAGAATTACAATGAAATGTGTTGGTTGGTTTCATTCCCACCAGAAACAAAATAAGCATGGAGTTTGTGCCTCTTCCCTGTATTTACATGGTTTTCATCTAGATTTTTTTTTATACTATCCGATTTCTACTTCCTCCTTCTTTTATTTTCTTCATTACAAACAGCCTTTCACTGTAGAGTACTAAAGTTTCTCAGAATCTGACATTCTGCAGAGAGGATATGGTCAGTGCAGAGCTTGCCAAGTTTGCCAATTTATGTTTGTCTGTTTCCCTCAGTGACTCATTTACCAGTTCAGGCATTGGTAGGAGGGTCTCTGTTGAGACTTGATGGTTCTTTGATGGGAGACAGATTTCAGTGCAGTGGTTTGCACATCTTTAAAGTTGCTAAGCTGTCAAATGTACTTAAAATGGCACAAAACACTCATACGTAAATCTGGCGATGAAGTTATACAAGTACACACGATGAGAAAATCAAATGAAAAATAATGCTTTTGGAGCAATCGTCCGATAATCTGTTAGTATACAGCTTTTGAGAGCCGATCACTGCAGTTAATGTAAAAATCTGAAGGTACAAGCACGAAAATGTTTCTCATAAGAGAACAGAGCAAACGTTTTTGTGTAATTACTATAGTATTTGTATGAAAAAATCAAGTGACCAAGACCACGCATACTCAAACAAAGAAAAAAATACAATACCATACATTACATCCCTTCCAAAGCTGCATTCTCTCTTAGGAGAATTTTCTTAACTTTAATAACTTATTCATTTTTGATATGAGACTAGCATGCAAAAAAAATAAACCACTGATGATCATTCATTCCATATTCACATTGTGTGTACTAGGCATTAAATTCAGCTTGTAGTCTTATCAACATACTGATCACTGCTCTAGAAAAGGCCAGGAAACGTGTGGGTGTGAACAGCACACCAGGATCCCCTTACACCAAGGCTTTTAAAAACTAGACACCTTTATGGTGCAGTCCATTCTTTTTTCTCTGGCCTTTAATTGTAGGGCTTCTTATAAATTTTAGTTTGTTGTTAATGGCATGCCAAGTTGGCACATAATTACAAATTTTCTGTTTTACCTGTTCCTGATTTTAGATACATTTCAACATCCTGCTTTGCTTATAGGAGACCCATATTATGTTAGCTTTAATTGTTGTATAATTTTAAAATTCTTACTTTTGCTAGGATCTTCGGGAGGAATGTATAAAATTGAAAAAGAGGGTGTTTGACCTTGAGCGTCAGAACAGAGCATTAAGTGACCTCTTTCACCAAAAGCTGCAGCGCTCCGCAGGATCATCCCCGGAGGTAAGAGCTGTATCCATGAGAATCGGGTCACATACAAAACACGTAGATGAGTTGATTTGAATTGGTGAATCATGTGATACATCACCTTCCCATTCCTGCTACATTGTAACCTTTGCCTCACTGGAACTTTTTACTATTTTCTGCTATGCAGATTTGTCATTTGCCTTTAATTCCAGTAAGTTATTTCTGTTAAATAGAAACACAGCCTTCTTTTAAAAGCTCACTGTTACTGCAGTTGTAGCAATGCAGGCATACTTTTCAAGCCAGATGGTTTGTGTTTTCAGAGTACTGTGTTTCAGATAATTCACCATTAGGCTACATGCACATGAATGCATTTGCCCGTTATGCATGAAGACCATTTCTGGTGTCCTGGATATCTTAGAGTTGCTTACAGTCACCTATAGACATGAATGGGAAAAGGCGGCTGTACACATTTATTCTTCACTGTCTGCACAAAGTAGCTCATACCGATAGACATTTTTGGTGCATTATGTCTTTCTGCTTGAGTAACTTCGTCAAATAGCTGTATACAACCACCTTTGTTTATATTGTAAAAATATATATGTATGTAAAAAAGTCAGTAGTAGATCTAGATGGCCTATAAAAATGGTTTTCAGATACTGCATATAATGTACCACAGTGTTGTCTTAGGAATTTGTGAACTACGGAAATCTGAATTTTTTTTTTTTTTTTTTTTTTTTTTTTGTGAACATACAAAAAATCCAATACATATCATGGAAAAAAAATACCTTTTAAATGCTTTTGTGTAGGTCATAGTTGTGACATAAAATCCTTTTGAAATCATGATACTGTCAAATTATAATATTTCTTTTGTTCCTTTCCTATCCAGTTGCATCCACTGCAGGCTGTATCTGACTCTCAGGGAGGTGATCTAGAGAGGCTACCGGTGTCTCTTCCACTTGGACAATGTGCAGTGCAGAGAGAGGTAAACCGATATTATATTGTCCTCTTCTTTTATGGAAGTGTATTAAATCCCCAAAACAAAAAAGGAATTTACCAAATGTTAGATGTGGTGGATGCATTAGATTTTTTTTTTCTTTGCTTTTAAGGCTTTTAAATTTTATTTACACCTGGTGATCCAGTCTGTTTATTTTTCAACTTCCTTTAACAGACCAAGCTGTCCAGCAGAAGTGGCAGTTATATGGTTGAGATAAACCATTTACCTCTGACAGGGGTGTTTACAGTGGTTAAGTTTCTTTCATTTATGTAAAACCTTTATCCCAAAAAAAGAAGAAAATTTGTTTGCTATAACTGTTTTTATAAAGTATTAGCTGGAGTTCAGCTTCAATTTGGTAGTCGTCCATCTAAATCTGCTAGTCTAACACTACCCTCCTTCCAGACTGACAATGCCTGCTGTCCAAGGGTATCTGCTTTACTACTTCATACAGAATGCAGATTCCGTGAGACAGGAAGGATGTTACTGGCTGGATCACCAGGTGAAATAAAGGGGGGGGGGGGAGAAAACTAATGTGGCTATGTATTACATTTTTGTGTTTGGGTTTAATACTGCTTTAAATTAACTTTTTAACTTTTGCTGTGTTTAGTATGCAAACCATAGTGACAGTTATCTTTTATACATCAATATTTATCAATTATTACAGACACTGTTTACTGCTAACAATTGCAACAAGTTATTGCTTATTGTGTTAACTGCAACTTTGACTGCACAGCGCTGGATCCCTGACAGGCTATGTAAATGTTTAGAGGGGGTAGGGAAATAGTTGGGAATGCATTAAAGTGGTTCTAAGGGCGGAATTAAGGTAAAAATCGGCTTCAGTGTGCAGTGGTTTCCCCCCCCCCCAATATTGCTGAGCCTGATTGGAATCAGCTCTTCCAGGTTTCTCCCTCCTCATTGGCTGAGACACAGCAGTGGTAACTATTGGCTCCTGCTGCTGTCAATCACAGCCAGTGGGAAGGGAATGGGGGGCGGGGCAGCTCTGTATATCTTATGGACATACAGGGCTGGCTTGGGAGTGAGCATGCATGTGTGCCCCAGAGCAAGCAGCTTGCTCTGGGGGCTCTCAGCAGGGGTGAGGGGCAAGGAGCGCCAGAGGGGGACTTGAGAAGGGGAGAATCGGGCCTGCTTTGTGCAAAACCATTGCACAGAGCAGGTAAGTATGACATGCTTGTTGTTTTAATTAAAAAGTAAAGTTTTACAACCACTTTAGGATAAACACCCAGCCTTTTGAACCATTTTTAATCCAACTCTGTATTTTATCTTTCATATGGAACTATTGTATCTGTTCCCTTCTCTTACTTTTATATTTGCATTACTTAGAACACATTAGTATCATTTGCATAGGCTATTGCTTACATTTTATGGGTTTGTTATGCATGTATAGATATTGATGCATATGTATGTATTTGTGTGTATACAGTGGGGCAAAAAAGTATTTAGTCAGCCACCAATTGTGCAAGTTCTCCCACTTAAAAAGATGAGAGAGGCCTGTAATTGGCATCATGGGTAGACCTCAACTATGAGAGACAAAATGAGAAAAAAAAATCCAGACAATCACATTGGCTGATTTGGAAAGAATTTATTTGCAAATTATGGTGGAAAATAAGTATTTGGTCAATATCAAAAGTTCATCTCAATACTTTGTTATATATCCTTTGTTGGCAATGACAGAGGTCAAACGTTTCCTGTAAGTCTTCACAAGGTTGGCACACATGGTTGCTGGTATGTTGGCCTATTCCTCCATGCAGATCTCCTCTAGAGCAGTGATGTTTTGGGGCTGTCGCTGGGCAACACGGACTTTCAACTCCCTCCAAAGGTTTTCTATGGGGTTGAGATCTGGAGACTGGCTAGGCCACTCCAGGACCTTGAAATGCTTCTTACGAAGCCACTCCTTTGTTGCCCAGGCGGTATGTTTGGGATCATTGTCATGTTGGAAGACCCAGCCACGTTTCATCTTCATTGCCCTTGCTGATGGAAGGAGGTTTGCACTCAAAATCTCACGGTACATGGCCCCATTCATTCTGTCCTGTACATGGATCAGTCGTCCTGGTCCCTTTGCGGAGAAACAGCCCCAAAGCATGACGTTGCCACCCCCATGCTTCACAGTAGGTATGGTATTTTTTGGATGCAACTCAGCATTCTCTCTCCTCCAAACACGACGAGTTGTGTTTCTACCAAACAGTTCTATTTTGGTTTCATCTGACCATATGACATTCTCCCAATCCTCTTCTGGATCATCCAAATGCTCTCTAGCAAACTTCAGACGGGCCCGGACATGTACTGGCTTAAGCAGGGGGACACGTCTGGCACTGCAGGATCTGAGTCCCTGGCGGCGTAGTGTGTTACTGATGGTAGCCTTTGTTACGTTGGTCCCAGCTGTCTGCAGGTCATTCACTAAGTCCCCCCGTGTTGTCCTAGGATTTTTGCTCACCGTTCTTGTGATCATTTTGACCCCACAGGGTGAGATCTTGCGTGGAGCCCCAGATCGAGGGAGATTATCAGTGGTCTTGTATGTCTTCCATTTTCTAATTATTGCTCCCACAGTTGATTTGTTCACACCAAGCTGCTTGCCTATTGCAGATTCAGTCTTCCCAGCCTTGTGCAGGTCTACAATTTTGTTTCTGGTGTCCTTAGACAGCTCTCTGGTCTTCACCATAGTGGAGTTTGGAGTGTGACTGAGGTTGTGGACAGGTGACTTTTATACTAATAACAAGTTCAAACAGGTGCTATTGATACAGGTAATGAGTGCAGGACAGAGGAGCCTCTTATAGAAGAAGGTACAGGTCTGTGAGAGCCAGAAATCTTGCTTGTTTGTAGGTGACCAAATACTTATTTTCCACCATAGTTTGCAAATAAGTTCTTTCCAAATCAGCTAATATGATTGTCTGGATTTTTTTTCTCATTTTGTCTCTTATAGTTGAGGTCTACCTATGATGCCAATTACAGGCCTCTCTCATCTTTTTAAGTGGGAGAACTTGCACAATTGGTGGCTGACTAAATACTTTTTTGCCCCACTGTATGTATGTGTTAACTGCATGCTACCATGTAAGAGTTTGTTGTTTTGCATACAGTGGTAATAAAGAATCTAATCTAAAATGTTAAACTACCTAACATTTTTGTACATCTCTGGGGGATTCTGTTGGTGAGATTTTTGCACTTGAGTTCATATAGCTCCACACCTGATGTGGCCATTATGAGAGTTTGGCCGCTCTTCTTTTGGCATTATTTTCATATTATGAAAAATGCAACAGGAGGAGCTGGAACAAACAAAAGCAGTCAGCAACCAAAACTCCTAGACTAACAGAAATGTAGTAGGGAACTATGGCAGAGAGCTCTAGCTGTTGGTTTATGCAGAATATATAAGAAGTCAGTAATAATTTTTTTATTTTTGATTTTTTTCCCAACAGGAGAAGCAGCGCTTTGGGAGAGCCCAGTCATCCTGTCGCTCCTTAGATGCCATGTCTCCATTCCTCAGGAAAAAGGCTCAGATCTTGGAAGTTCTACGGAGATTAGAGGCGACAGGTTCTCAGTCTGGCTCAAGCTGCACTGCCACTTCAGCTTATCTTGGGGGCTTGCCATCATCTAGCGGGAATGGGCTGCGCATCAGAACAGAGCAAGGCTTAGATTATCTTAATGGTGAGGGCATGACCCCTCCAGAACTTGGTGCAGATGAACCTTGGGCTTCCTGTTTGCTTTTAGCCCAAAGTGGTTGGGAGGAATTGCTGAAATGGAAGTCAATACAACGAGAACCACCAGCAGGTAGCCCTGGAGAGGGTGGAGGAGAACACCTTGGTTTGGCAGCAGAGGAAACACAGCAGTCCACACGTCAAGCAGAAGGAAGTTCATCCTCTTCAGATGATGATATTGGAGAGCCACCTCCTCCAATAAGTGAAATCAGACAGCGTTTACCATTAACTGACTTGGCAAAGGGCTTAGCACCTTGTATGTGCTCCCGTGGAGCAGGAGATAAAAGGGGCCCGGTTGAGGGCCATTCTGATGGAACTGGTTTCAATAGGGGACACATTGGGCATCTTCACTCACTGACATGCTATAGCAAAAGCCTTCATGATATGGTAGAAAATCAGCATATGTCAGGAGCATCACCAGCAGTTACAGACAGAGGGGACACTGTGTCTTGTTCCCCAGGGAAAACCTTGGGTTCAGAACATACATCTGATGGACTTGCTTCTCCTTGTCCTCCTTCTACTGGGAGCTCTCTAAGTTTACCAAGAGACACAGGTGGATTAACCCCCAAGAGTGCATCTCAGGAGTCACAAGATGATTGTTCTCAGACCCCATCTCTGGCTCCCAATCCGTCCTCTTCTGACCCACAAGATGCACTTATTCCCTCCACTGAGCCCCGAACACCTCACATCCCATCTCCAGCTAAATTTCTTAAGTTTTTGAAGCTTCCAGGCTCAGGGGAGAAGTCACAGAGTCCAAACTCTCTAAGGCTCAGCCCTCAGCTCACTCAAACCTCCAAAATTCCATGTCGGAGCAATAATTATGAGGCATTTCCCTCTCCACGTCCAACTAGAAAGGCAGCTGACGAAATACCTCGTCCTGAAGTAGATGCTGATCCACCATCTCCTTCTGAAATAATAAATTCAGATTCCAATAGACAAGGGCAAATTGAAAGTTCCAACAGCATACGAAGTAGATCTGCAGTACAGTGTTGTACCAAAAAGTCTCATGATTATGAGAATGTTCCTGCTAAAAATTCAGAACTTTCCACTGCACACCAAACTGTTGAAGATTTGGAGAGTTCATCAAAGTTGGTTAGTTCAGTGTGTTCTTTTGGCTGTTCCCCTGGACTTTGTGCTCATTCCCAAGTAAATTGTACAGAAGATCATCATAGTCAGGTGGCTTTCAATAGAAAACCTGTAACTTCCAGAAAAACTGTAGAGTCTGCTGGCCATATCCCATTTAAAGAAAGAATGGGAAAACTGAGGAGTTCAGACAGCCAACAGTCTGAGCTCACGGTTTCAGGAACAGAGAATGTTAGGGTAATAACTGATGGACCTGACCTCCGCCCATCAATGAAGCGATCCTTAGCTGTTAGTAGTTTAAGGACTCCTGAACCTGGATCCACTGAGAGTTATCCACCACGGTACCATGGCCAAAAATCTGATGCAGCTCGCACTCGGCAGACTGCTACAAACTGTCCACCCGGTTCTCCTCATGGACCTCGTAATCAACCTCGAGCACCACCTGTCCCTAGCAAATCTCCTCGCAGCCCTCATGGCAGTCCTACAAAGTTACCTGCAAAATCCCCCAGTAAAGCAACAGCCAAACCTCTTGTATCCCGACCTCTAAGTGAAGAGTTGAGGCCAAGTCCTCGGCAACCTACATCCTCTAGTGAAGATAAGCAAAGGATGCAATCTGCTGGTATAGGAAAGAAAGCTGCTACATGTCCAGAGTATGCCTGTCCTCGTAGCACAGGCCCACAGGGTACAGAAAGTCTTCCACTAAGTGCTCTGCATTCTGCTATAGAAGAAAAAGTCATGAAGGGCATTAAAGAGAACATGTTAAGGTTGCAGGAACAACATCGTTCACCTTCATCTGATCCTAAGCAGCGTAATTCCAGTGGTATTGCCAGCTGGTTTGGCCTAAAGAAAAGTAAGCTGCCTGCACTTAGCCGTAGACCAGAGACTGGACGAGTGAAAGAGGAAAAGCGGGACAGGGCTGCTGGAGGCTCTCCTCGGACTAGAGATGTAAAGGGTGAAAGCTTAAATATCTCCATGTTAATGGAAAAAGCAGAGGATCTGAGGAAAGCTCTCCAGGAAGAGAGGGCCTATATTAATGGACTTTCTCTGGATAAAAATCGTACACCTGTGCCTGTGGACCAGGCACAAAATCCGAGGTCTTTGACTGCAGACAACTTTATGCAACAGCTTTTGAATCGGTGAGTGTCATGCATTCAGGGATAAAATATATACCCACTTTCCTCTTGACAATTACCATTACCTATTAGTTTTTTTTTCCAGACACAATGGGGTTGACTTATTAAACTTGGAGAGTGCAAAATTGGCTGAAGCTGTGCGTGGTAGCCCAATCAGCTTCTAAAGTCAGCTTGTTCAATTAAGTTTGACAAAAAAAACTTTGGAAGGTGATTGGTGACCGTTAAGCAATCAACTTTGCACACATTCAAGTTTCCCACATACTAAATAATTAGGGGTAACTGAAGTATGTCTGTAGTCTTGTGAAGCATTCATTGGGGAGATTTAGTAAAACGAGCAAAAAATCTGGTGCAGCTCTGCATAGAAACCAATCACTAGGGATGCACCGATACCCTTTTTTGATTGGCGAGTACGTAGTACCGATAGTTCTTTTTCGATCAAGTACTCGCCCCATACCAAGTACCAATACTTTGGGGAGCAATTTGCGACAATACAAAATGTATGAACGCAAATTGCTCCAAAGAATAGCATGCGATTCGAACACAAATGGGGTGCCTGATTTACTCGTGAAAAAGCTCCTGATACTTGAAACTGATACTTTGCGGTGTGATTTGCGCTAATACAAAATGGATGCAAATTGTCATCTAACCCGTACAGTCAGTCATTCCTGCAAGGGAGAAGTGTGAAAGCTGCAGGGATTTCAGATTCCCAGACCTGTGAAGCGGCTTTCTCTCCTCTTCTTGCTAGGATGACCGTGCTGACCATTCAAAAGCTCCCTGGCCCGTACTGTCATCCCTGCAGAGAGGAGAGAAAGTCGTTGGGATTTCAAATCCCCAGACCTGTGAAGCAGCTTTTCCTTCTGTGACAGCATGGGATCTGTGCAGGGAGGTTTCCTGCACCACTTCTGTGTGAACTCTGGCTTTGACAAGCCTGGGTTCACACAGGAGCAGTGGGGAAACCGCATGCGATATGGTCAGGAATGGCACCGCATTCCTGTTCAAATTGCATGCAATTTTTTGTGGTGCAGTTTGTGTCCATACAATTTGTATTTACGCAAATCGCTCTGTAAGTATCTTTATATTGGTACTTGGTATTGGCAAGTGCTTGACCGAAAGTCTCTGTACTTTGTACTCACTGATCAAAAAAGGATATCGGTGCATCCCTAGTGATTGGTTTCTATGCAGAGCTGCACCAGATTTTGCACTCTGTTTTGAGTAAATCTCCCCCAATGAATGCTTCACAAGACTACATATGCATACTTCAGTTACATGATTTTATATCGTATGTGCAAAGTTAACTGTCCTGTTCCTCACTTTATACTACTAGATTATTTTACTTAAATCTGTGGAGCAGAAGTATTTGAACACCCTGCGATTTTCCAAGTTCTCCCACTTAGAAATCATGGAGGGGTCTGAAATTCACATTGTAGGTGCATTCCCACTCTGAGAGAGAATTTAAAATCAAAATTCAGGAAATCACATTGTATGATTTTTAAAGAATGTATTTGTCTTGCACTGCTGAACATAAGTATTTGAACACCTGAGAAAATCAGTGTTAATAATTGGTACAGAAGCCTTTGTTTGCAATTACAGAGGTCAAACGTTTCCTGTAGTTCTTGGCCAGGTTTGCACACACTGCAACAGGGATTTTGGCCCCACTCCTCCACACAGATCTCCTCTAGATCTGTCAGGTTTCGGGGCTGTTGCTGAGCAACACAGAGTTTCAGCTCCCTCCAAAGATGTTCTATTGGATTTAGATTTGGAGACTGGCTAGGCCACTCCAGAACCTTGATATGCTTCTTATGGAGCCACTCCTTGGTTATCCTGGCTGTGTGCTTCGGGTCGTTGTCATGTTGGAAGACCCAGCCACGAACCATCTTCAATGGTCTGACTGAGGGAAGGAGGTTGTTGCTCAAAATCTCACAATAAATGGCCCCATTCATCCTCTCCTTAATACAGTGCAGTCTTCCTGTCCCCTTCGCAGAAAAGCACCCCCAAAGCATGATGTTACCACCCCCCATGCTTCACAGTAGGGATGGTGTTCTTGGGGTGCAACTCATCCTTTTTCCTCCAAACACGACGAGTAAAGTTTAGACCAGAAAGTTCTACTTTGGTCTCATCTGACCACATGACTTTCTCCCATGCCTACTGTGGATCATCCAGATGGTCATTGGCAAACTTCAGATGGGCCTGGACATGTGATGACTTGAGCAGGGGAACCTTCCGTGCAATGCATGATTTGAAACCATGAAGGCGTAGTGTTCTACCGACAGTGACCTTTGAAACTGTGGTCCCAGCTCTCTCCATGTCATTGACCAGCTCCTCCCTTGTAGTTCTGGGCTGATTCCTCACCTTTCTTATCAGTGATACCCCACGAGGTGAGATCTTGCATGGAGCCCAAGTCCAATGGAGACTGACAGTCGTCTTTAGCCTCTTCCATTTTCTAACAATTGCTCCAACAGTTGATCTATTTTCACCAAGCTGCTTGGCAATTGCCCCGTAGCCCTTGCCAGCCTTGTGGAGGCCCACAATTTTGTCTCTGGTTTCTTTTGACAGCTCTTTGGTCTTGCCCATGGTAGTAGTTGGCGTCCTGACTGACTGTGGGGTGGACAGGTGTCTTTAAAGAGCTCAGACAAGTGCTACTAAGTTAGATTAATGAGTGGAGTAGAGGTGGACTTTTTAAAGGCACAGTAACAGGTCTTTGAGAACCAGAATTCTTGCTGTTTCTTAGGTGTTCAAATACTTATATTCAGCAGTGCAAGACAAATACATTCTTTAAAAATCATACAATGTGATTTCCTGAATTCTTTTTTTTAAGTTCTGTCTCTCAGAGTGGGAATGTACCTACAATGTGAATTTCAGACCCCTCCATGATTTCTAAGTGGGAGAACTTGGAAAATTGCAGGGTGTTCAAATACTTCTGTTCCTCGCTGTAAGTAGATCACCATTTGTGCAGGCAATTGGTCTTAAAGTAGTGCTGTACCTAAAGCTGCTTTTACTTTTTAGGGTTGGGGGATTTTCAAATTCTCCAGTGAGCCTAAAATTGAGTCCCGGCTCTCCCCCACTTTTTTACTGACAAGCCATGCTTTGCTTTTTCAGTTAAGCTAATGTCACTTGCTGTGTAAATTCTCCATGCAGACTTAGAAGTCACTGCATGTTAAGTGACACTAAATTGCTGCATTGCAGAATAAGCCATAGTTCACATCCTTGCATTAATGTGTGGTTTACATGTACAAAAAGTCTTTTGGTTCTTTTTGGTTTTGGTGCAGATTTCAGCAAGTACATCTTCTAAGAAGATGAACAGTACATCATGTACGGTGCACCTGGCCAAAAGCCAAAACTGAAAAGGACAGTTTTTAAATAAATAATATATTTTTCAAAATCATTTTTTTTGGGAAAAAAATACACACTGCTTTCCCATCCGCCCTATAGCAGAAGTACGAGTGTGAAAACCACGTGTATATATACACATAATTTTGCAGTTCCAGGTAGGGGGCGCGCATGCCCTACCCACGCCGCCATTCGCGGCCTTGGTGATCAAGCATCGGGTCCGGGTCAGTGATTACTTGCCAGTGATTGCCGAGTACCTTTAAGGGGGGGACTGTTTGTAAACAGTACAGTTCTCTCCCCTGTCTGCTCCTAAATACTGCTTTACATGGCTGTGCAGGTAAAATGGTACACAGTTAACCCTTTGATCACCCCACATGTTAACCCCTTCCTACACAGTGCCATTAGTACAGTGTCGGTGCTTTTTATTAAAGTGTAGCGAGCGCAAAGAAAAAAAGGAAAACTAATCAACAAGCAGCTAGCAAAATGGTGAACCCACTTCATCCACAAAAACAATAAACATATACAAAAATGTGCAGCGCTGGTGTCTTAATCTTATGGTGAAAACATGTAAAGCACAAAAATATTCCTGTGTAAAACTCATGTGTTACTTATGTGATAGAGAATATAAATGATAGAAAACGACAAAGTGTAGTATTTTTATTTTCTAAAAAGCAGCTACATCCATGTGGTGCACTTAAAAACAGAATCGGCCACACTTACAAATATGGCTGCCGGACCATCGCATGGAATCGGCGGTGTGACGTCAGTATGTAGGGAGGAGCCTATGTGCTGATGACACTCTTTAGAGGGATTTCCATACAGAGCCCAGCTGCAACAGATATCTGATACATATCCATCCCTGCTGTGGAGAGGTCACATCTTCTGGAGGGATTTCTGTATAGAGCTCAGTTGATTCTGGCTTCTGATGAGCGCATAGTGGTGGAGGATTGTCACAGATGTACTCTTCAGATGTCACTTCATTCCATTGGTTATTATTAAGCAACACCATTTGACTCTTCACTTTTTGACTTTTTTACATTTTCTATATTTTATATTCTCTACTATCACATAATCATGAGTTTTACACAGGAATATTTTTGTGTTTTACATGTTTTATCATATGACTTAGACACCAGCGCTGCACTTTTTGTATATTGTTAGTGCTTTTTATTAGCACTGATCACTGTATTGGTGTCACTGGGGTTGTCGGTGACACCAAGTCCATTCCACCTCAGTGTCAGAATGCCTGCCGCAGTCCCGCTATAAGTCGCTGATCGCTGCCATTACTAGTAAAAAAAAAATTTTTTAAAAAATCCCATTATATATACCACCATTTATAAACGCTATAACTTTGATGTAAACCAATTAATTTACACGTATTGAGATCTTTTTTTTTTAGCAAAGACATGTAGCATAATGCATTTTGGCCTAAATTTATGAGGAAAGCTTGCAATGCAGGGTTAGCCCCACTACGAGCGATTTGTTTTTTTTTTTTTTTTTTTTTTTTTTTTTTTTTTTTTTTTGGGAGATGGGCTTTAAATGTATTTTATGTGCTTTTATCACATAAACCTAATTACAGCAAACAATAGTTGATGCCAGGAAACCTGTAACAGAAAATAAAGTTCCTTAACCCCACATATGCTGGAATTCATCCCCTTCACATAGTTGTACTATGCACAGTATGCCAAGAGTTCCCAGAAACAGTCCTTTCTGCCCTAATTGCATGAAAAGGTAGGTGGTATAATTCACAGCCAGCCAGGTACCCAGGTAAGTGTTATAATCCTCTTGGGGATTATGTAACCCCAAGGGGAAGGTCTCCTTAGTCCTGGGTTCATAGTCGGTGGGAAGGAGGGTGGCCACCAGGACCCCAAGCCATGGATGTTTCTGTTAAAGCATATAGAAGATGTGGAAGAACAGGTCAACGAAGTGTAGAAAGGTGGGAGGACCAAGAGATAGTCAGTGCTGAGAATGTGTATATGTGCAAAGAACAATAACTGCACCAGTAGTAATTTAGCTAATGGTGGCACTGCAGCCTAAGGGAGAATGCTCAGAAGGGTAATGTTAGAGTCAAATGGCTTCAACTGCTGTTTTTTACCCTAAGTCCTGAATAGTTTGAAACACAGTTGACAAATATCTGAATAATTTAGCTCACCGCCAGAGCATATGAATTAACTAGAGCACCTGAGGCAACAAGGTGAGTCGATCCTGCCCCAGGAGTACATTTTTTTGAGGGTATAAAATACCCTGTGTAGAGAAACAACAAACAACTGTGTTAGTTTATGGGAAGGAGAAATGGATACGGCAGGTATCTCAAGTGCTGTGGTCCTCATCTATGTAACCAAGATCATGCCTCCAGCCCTCTCCAAATCGCAGGTGTATCTTTGAACTCGCTGCCACTAAGAACGTAAGTCCTCTTTTTGGAATTACCCGAGGGGGCTACTATTTTAAGAACTACAGAAGGGTTGTAAACCATAGGGGATGAGCATGACTGTTTATGTAAGGTGTGGCAAAATTGTAGGTATTGTAAAAATGACTTGTGAGAGAGCTAGTATCAATTGACAATGGATTGAAAATACATCAGCGCATCCTTTTTTTTTATAATTTGGTTTCTTACAATGGTCAAAAACCTAGTTCCAGATAGTTAGAATTGTACCATATGGGGATATACTGAGAGTATCCGGAATGTGCACTGCCTTCCAAGTTTTGTGAATCAGTAAAAGAGTAGGGTAGCTATGTGTGCCTTTCATATCAGGGACACAGAGGCAGCCGCTGGTCAGTAAATGTGCAGACTCGCATTCAAACCTCTGCCCATTGACCCAGACATGGTCGCCTGTCATCATTGATTGGTATTCAAGCTCAGCAGGAAGTCCAGAGGAGGCAGAGGTAGCCTAAGTATTACATCTATTTGGCAGGAGCTTTGATCATCAACACTGTTTGATCATCTGTGCTGCACTGCTGAAAAACTGCAGAAAGGGAGGAATACCAGCTTGATGTATGCGAAGTGCCAAGTGCCACAAACCTCATGCAATGCAACCAGGTGAATTCCATTTATTTTAGGTTGTTGGCAAGACTGTGAAAGGCTGGGGGAAGTTGTGAAGGTCAAAAGGACTCCCTGGACACTTGTTGAGCTCTAGGCTCCAGCCTAGGTTGCCCAGTGAATGGTTTAGCTTCAGAGAATAGAAAACTTTTCATTTATCACTTGAGTGCTGAGGTCTTCTTGCCGTCTTTCCTGATCTCCACTTGCTCGCTGATCGTCTGTTACTCTTGCTGTTCTCTAGTAGGAGGGTAATCCAGAAATGACCAGCCAAGTTGCACCACTGTTTAAAAGTGTTGTGATGTGCTTCTCTGTTATGTTGTATAGCTGGGTACCTAAAGCTCAGGAGCCTGCCTCCGCCTCCTTTACTGCACACTGATGAAGAAAGAACCAGGCTGCACACCAGCAACATAGAAACATCCAGTGAGATTATTGAGCAAACGGCACATAAAGGCAAACTCCCTCTTGCGGCCATGCATCGAACATGGTTCACCCCTACAGGGATTATTCATAGGGACTGTCGTGCATCCCTATTTAAGCCCTGTAGAGGTGTGAACTCAAGTGGGTGATGGCCTGGATGTGCTGCTTGTCCTTATATCCTGTATAATAATAATATTGCTTTCTCAATAAACTCAATATACTCACTGGATGTTTCTATATCTTTAGTGTGCAGCCTGGTTTGTGCTTAATCAGTGGGTAATACATACATTTTTCTTGAAAGATCTGTGAAGCCAGTAATTCAACTGCCACAAGCTTGAAATCTGTATGTCACTTTCAGGCTATCAGTGAGCTTTCTGTATTAAAGCAGCTGCTGAAAGTGCTAAAAAAAAGAGTTTAATATCACTTTAAGGCTGTTAGTCAATATCTTAAGTTTCTTGGTCTGAACAACCACTCTCATAGAAGAAATGGTTTGAAGACCATAACATGCTTGCTGTGATTTGTGTAATTTGATAAAAAATGTATCTGTATATTTAGATGTCAGTCATATATTTTTTTTTTTTATACTGTCCCCTAACTGCCTTATAAGGTTTCCATACTGTCCTGGACTCCTGAAATCCAAAGCATGTCCTGGTTGGCGAAAATGCCTATTCAGTGTTTTGCATCAAGACAACTGTTAACTCTAAAGAATTGGTTAATAGTGGCAAACGACCCAACTCATTCATGCAAGGCTCGAGATTCCCTACCTAGGCCCATGCATATCTAAAAGAGCAGATGTATACAGAATGTCTGAAATCTGTTTCACTAATATTTTCTAATCTAAATGATTTGGCTGTGTTCCACTTTGGTTAACAATGCACATCTTAGGTTCTTTGATACAATGCCATGGTGGCCATCAGTGACAGGATTCTAACCTGTATTGGGACTTAAACAAGTGGTTTGCTCTTGGTAGCTTGAAGGCATAGGCTTATGGAAATTGATGTGCATCTATTTTCTCTAATTTCAGGGTGGATGGGAAAGAGCCAACTCTGGAAGGCCGTGTAGAAGGGAAGACACCTCTACGTGACTTTCCTAGATTATCACCCGAGAACAAGGAAGCTCGCCCCTTTCGGCCTCCAAGGAATGGGATGGTCACACATGTCCAGCGATGTGAACAAAAGAACATTGATCAGGTAGACACATGGTATATAAGAGCCAGAGACTTTTGGCCAGATCACAGCATCAGTTCTAAAATATTCTTCCTTCTCCAAACAGAACAGAGAAGTGGCTCTTCCTCCTGATGAGAGGATTTCTGAATCAATCAATTCACAGCATTTTGCAGGTACCTGAAAACATCCTGTGGTCCTATATGCCATACTGTCCTGTAAATACTGGACATTGTGACTGACTATAAGCTATTTGTGGAAATCTAGAGTGCATGTACGAATATTCTTTAGTATAGATTAGTGTTACATAATCTATAGCTTCTATTCTTAAACAGTTTTAACATACCCCAAAAGATTCAATTAAAAGAATGCATAGTAAATGGAACAGTTGCAGTATGTCATAGGTTTCCTTAACAAAAGAGCAAAGTTCATAAGCTAACTAAAAAAAAAAGCACTCCAATCAAAACTGGAAATAAAACCTTGCTACTCCAGCTTCCATCCAGACACAGCTGTAGTGCATTTAGTCTCCCCACTCTGTATTGTCGGTAACCTAATGAGAACCCCCAGTTTTGATGCATGAAAGCTATTCCCAAGACCACCTGCTGCCTCTCATGTATGGGCCTGATAAAGAGTTACTACAAAGTAGATTCCCGTTTCACAGCCTCCATTCAGACTGAACTCTAAATGTGATTGCTGGATTAACAGAAGCATTAAGCGTGTAACATTTTGTTAACATTTATGTACTTGGGGAAATCCATATTTGTTGGAGCACTTTGCAGCTCTACTTAATAGTTGTGCACAATAAATTATTACTTTTTTTTCACAGCAGTCCATAAACATAATCTGGCTGAAAAAAAAAGACAAAAGTCCATCCAGTTCAACCATAGAAAAAAAAAAAGTTATAATCCTATACCCACAGTTGATCCAGAGGAAGGCAAAAAAACCCAGCAATGCATGATCCAATTTGCTCCTGCTGGGGAAAAAAAATTCCTTCCTGATCCCCCGGAGAGGCAATCGGATAAACAACGCTTTAACTCATCAGGGAAAGGGAATTTTTTGGGAGAGAAGAAGGGGGGTAGACAGGAGAACACTGTAAGAGGTTGGGGAATACCTAGTAAATATCTGTGAAAGCCAAGGAGTACACACATCACCCAACTTACAGTTAGAGGAGGGTTTAATCAGTCCCATCTCGTTGGGACACCAACGGCTGCCATACTTTATCATATTTCCAAGAGTAACCTTGACTAATATATGTCAGCTTGTAGAGGGGCAGAGCAACATTTTGTCATGTTACAACCAAAAATGTAAATGTATTTTATTGGGATTTTAAGTGATAGAGCAACACACAGTGGCACATAATAATGAAGTGGAAGGAAAATAATAAATGGTTTTCAACATTTTTTACAAATAAACATCTGAAAAGTGTGGTATGCATTTGTTTTCAGCCCCTTTTAATCTTATACCCCTAACTAAAATCTAATGGAACCAATTGCCTTCAGAAATTGTCTAATTTAGTAAATAGAGTCCATTTGTGTGTAATTTAATCTCAGTATAAATACAGCTGTTCTGTGAAGCCCTCAGAGGTTTGTTAAAGAACATTAGTGAACAAACAACATCATGAAGGCCACAGAACACACCAGACAGGTCAGGGATACAAATGTGGATAAGTTTAAAGCAGGGTTAGGTTATAACAAAAAAAAATATCCCAAGCTTATAACATCTCACGGAGCACTGTTCAATCCATCATCCAAAAATGGAATGTATGGCACAACTGCTAACCTACCAAGATATGGCTGTCCATCTAAACTGACAGGCCAGGAGAGCATTAATCAGAGAAGCAGCCAAGAGGTCCATGGTAACTCTGGAGGAGCTGCAGAGATCCACAGCTCAGGTGGGAAAATCTGTCCACAGGACAACTATTGTGCACTCCACAAATCTGGCCTTTATGGAAGGGTGGCAAGAAGAAAGCCATTGTTGAAAGAAATACATAAGAAGTCTTGTTTGGGAAAAGCCATGTGGGGGACACAGCAAAGATGTGGAAGAAGGTGCTCTGGTCCACAAATGCTATGTGTGGAAAATTAACACTACACATCACCCTGAACACATCATCCCCACCGTGAAACATGGTGGTGGCAGCATCCTGTTGTGGGGATGCTTTTCTTCAGCAGGGACAGGGAAGCTGGTCAGAGTTGAATGGGAAGATGGATGGAGCCAAATACAGGGCAATCTTAAAAGAAAACCTGTTAAAGTCTGCAAAAGACTTGAGAATGGGACGGAGGTTCACCTTCCAGCAGAACAACAACCCTAAACATACAGCCAGAGCTACAATGGAATGGTTTAGAAGATCAAAACATATTCATGTGTTAGAATGGCCCAGTCAAAGTCCAGTCCTAAATCCAATTGCGAATCTGTGGCAAGACTTGAAAATTACTGTTCACAGATGCTCTCCATCCAATCTGACAGAGCTTGAGCTATTTTGCAAAGAAGAATGAGCAAAAATGTCACTCTCTAGATGTGCAAAGCTGGTAGAGACATACCCAAAAAGACTTGCAGCTGTAATTATAGTGAAAGGTGGTTCTACAAAGTATTGACTAAGGGGGGCTGAATACAAATACACGCCACACTTTTCAGATATTTATTTGTAAAAAATTTTGAAAACCATTTATTTTCCTTCCACTTCACAATTATGTGCCACTTTGTTTTGGTCTATCACATAAAATCCCCCCAAAAAAATTTACGTTTTGGTTGTAGCATGACAAGATGTGGAAAATTCCAAGGGGTATGAATACTTTTTCAAGGCACTGTGTATATTTAATGCAGTACCCCATTGTCCTCCACTATAGATCCTAGTTGTTGTAGAATGATTACCCTGACATATTCTGGCAAATGGTGGCTTTGAGCAGCTGTCAGATTGGAAAAATTGTATGCTCAGCTGAAGGTCCCCCCCCCCCCCCCCCCTTTCCTTTATTTCTTTTTTTTGTATTTGCAGAATGTTATATGGCTACTCAAAGCATGTACAGTATCTCACAGAAGGGAGCACACCCCTCACATTTTTGTAAATATTTTATTATATCTTTTCATTTGACAACACTGTAGAAATGACACTTTGCTACATTGTAAAGTAGTGAGTGTACAGCTTGTGTAAATTTGCTGTCCCCTCAAAATAACTACACACACCCATTAATGTCTAAACCACTGGCAACAAAAGTGAGTACACCCCCTTAAGTAAAAAGGTCCAAATTGGGCCTAAAGTGTCAATATTTTGTGTGGCCACCATTATTTTCCAGCACTGCCTTAGCCCTCTTGGGCATTGAGTTCACCAGAGCTTCACAGGTTGCCACTGGAGTCCTCTTCCACTCCTCCATGACGACATCACGGAGCTGGTGGATGTTAGAGACCTTGCGCTCCCCACCTTCCTTTGAGGATGCCCCACAGATGTTCAATAGGGTTTAGGTCTGGAGACATGCTTGGCCAGTCCGTCACCTTTACCCTTAGCTTCTTTACCAAGGCAGTGGTCGTCTTGGAGGTGTGTTTGGGATCGTTATCATATTGGAATACTGCCCTGCGGCCCAGTCTCCGAAGGAAGGGGGTCATGCTCTGCTTTAGTATGTCAGTGCATGTTGGCATTCATGGTTCCCTCAATGAACTGTAGCTCCTCAGTGCCGGCAGCACTCGTGCAGCACCAGACCATGACACTCCCACCACCATGCTTGACTGTAGGCAAGACACACTTGTCTTTGTACTCCTCACCTGGTTGCTGCCACACACGCTTGACACTATCTGAACCAAATAAGTTTTTATCTTGGTCTCATCAGACCACAGGACATGGTTCCAGTAATCCATGTCCTTAGTCTGCTTGTCTTCAGAAAACTGTTTGCGGGCTTTCTTGTGCATCATCTTTAGAAGAGGCTTCCCTCTGGGACAACAGCCATGCAGACCAATGTGATGCAGTGTGCGACGTATGGTCTGAGCACTGACAGGCTGACCCCGCACCCCTTCAACCTCTGCAGCAATGCTGGCAGGACTCATACGTCTATTGTCGAAAGACAACCTCTAGATATGACGCTGAGCACGTGCACTCAACTCCTTTGGTCGACCATGGCGAAGCCAGTTCTGAGTGGAACCTGTCCTGTTAAACCGCTGTATGGTCTTGGCCACTGTGCTGCAGCTCAGTTTCAGGGCCTTGGCAACCTTCTTATAGCCTAGGCCATCTTAATGTAGAGCAGCTATTCTTTTTTTTTCAGATCCTCAGAGTTTTTTGCCATGAGGTGCCATGTTGAACTCCCAGTGATCAGTGTGAGAAAGTGAGAGTGATCATACCAAATTTAACACACCTGCTCCCCATTCACACCTGAGACGGTGCAACACTAACGAGTCACATGACACCAGGGAGGGAAAATGGCTAACTGGGCCCAATTTGTACATTTTCCCTTAGGGGTGTGCTCACTTTTGTTGCCAGTGGTTTAGACATTAATGGCTGTGTTGAGGTATTTTGAGGGGACAGAAAATTTACACTGTTATACAAGATGTACACTCACTACTTTACATTGTAGCAAAGTGTAATTTCTTCAGTATTGTCACATTAAAAGATATAATCAAATATTTACAAAAATTTGAGGGGTGTACTCACTTCTGGGAGATACTGTATATATGCAAAGGCAAAGATACATATATTTAATGAGAGGGCAAATAAGTTTTCCATTAAAGTTGATATGTTTGGCTCTTGTGATTTTTGCAGATATCTTCTCTTCCTGTTAGGTCCGTAAAGCTTACACAGCTTTAAAAAAACAAAACAAAATGACAGCACCAGAGATGGCACTTACATTGAATGAAAAGTGTCCATTGTAATGGTGGCTGCTGTGTTGGGTTGAAATACTTAGTCCTCTGCCCCCAGATACTCCCGTGGTTGTAATCCTGCGGTGCTGCAGGGGTTAATATGAGCACCGGTAGCTGTGACAGGCGCTTATCAATGGTGTTGTCTATGTCCACTCTTTCTGCCCCTTTGCTCCATTCATAGAAAGAATACTATCGGTTTCCACAATGAAAGCACTGTATGAATGGCAGATTATTGAAAGGACGGTCTCTTCTATTCATAAAGAGCCTTTCACTGTTGGAATAGATATATGGAGTATGGCTTCTACAAAGGGAGAGGGTTGGAGAGGTCTGACATAGTGAGCACTTTTGATAGGTACCTGTCACAGCTGCAGCAGTTTGTATTAACACCCGCGGCAAAGGAAGATCACAGCTGTGGAAGTTTCTGAGGCAGTGGACTGTAGATTTAAATGCAGTAGCCCCCAGCACATGGGACACTTTTCATTCATTGTAACAGTTTGTTGCTGGTGCTGTTTTTTTTTGTTTTCTGTTTTTTTTTTTTTTTTTGTTTATTTTATTCCCCTAACCTTCAGTTTTAAGGCCAGTAATATTTCATCCACAAACAAAGCAAACCACTGTTTATTTGAAGCCAGAAATTTTGCTTTAATTTTGGAATTCCAAAAACTTCCATTCTTTGGAAGTACTGACCCTGAAATGAAACCTCAAATTTAAGTTTGCCCACCTTTTTATAGAATTCTTTTTTTCTTTTTCCCCCACAGCTTGTGACTCGCTCACTCGGACCCTGGACAGCGGAATTGGGACATTTCCTCCACCTGATTACTGTGGAGGGACACCAATCAAAAGCGCCCCAAAGTTAAAGTCTAGGCTGGAGTCTCCTTCTGTCCTTCCAGTGGGAAGGTTTTCTGCTTTCCCAAAGGCCCCCAGAAGAGCAAGGACTTTGGACAGGGACATGAGAGGTGTCGAGGAAATGTACCCCCCAGGACAGCATCAGAGTATTCCAGCATTCCATGCGCTGTTGACAGAGCCAGAGCCTACTGTCGGACACAGGATGTATAGAGAAGGTATATCTCTCGAAATCTCTCAATAGTTTGGTTCCTAGAAGCAGTAGTAGTGTAACCATTCATACATATACTGTACATGAATCCAATTAGTAAGCAAGGAGAAATGTGTAAAATGCTATAAATCAGTATTAAACCCAAAACCAAAAATATATTGCAGCTTACCAATCATTAGATGTGGTTCCTGCATCAATGATCTTTTCCTAGGCTTTTTTGCCTTGGTTTTCCCCTGGTGATCTGGCCAGCAACACACCTCTTGTATTAGAGTGCTCCTTTCTGGAAAAAGGATCACAAGGGGCACCTTTGGACAGCAGCATTGTCAGTCTGGTGGGGAACATGCAGATTTATATACACTAGCAAATGGAAGTCAAACTCCAGCTAATTCTTCATAAGCAGTTACAGCAAACTGTGTTGTTTTTTTTTTTTTTTGTTTTTTTTTTTTTTTAGGATAAATGCTTTACATAAATAAAAATCTGAACATTATAAGCACCCTTGTTAGTGTTAAATAGTCTGTCTCAACCCTCTGATTACTACATGTGCAGAAACGTGTTCTGAAAAACAATAGGCATACTTGGCAGGATCTCCAGGTGAAAATTAATGAAAGAAACGCTAAAAAAGAAAATAATGCAGTCATCACATTTTAGGATTGGTAAGCTGCAATACAATATATGGTTTCAGGTTTAATACTACTTTAATCTTTCACTAATCTAGTTCAATGAAACTGAATTTTAATTTGTTACTTTGTGTTTACATATAATCATTGCTGGTAATAGCACATGGTTAGTGTAAATGGTAGACTTGATAAATAATTTATTATCTGCTACTATAAATTTAACATAGGGTTCCTTCAATTGCAGATTCCAGTAGAGATCACAATTTGCCACAGCAGAACAAGAACTGGACCTTTCCCAATGCCAAGATCAATGCTGGTTCAGCAGAGAGCTTCCGGTCCAGAGTGCATGATCTGGAAGAGGTAAGGGGATGTTCCTTGAAGGAGCACCAATGGAAGACTGCCATAAAATTTGTATTTGTCCAGCATACTTTTCTGAGGTGTTTTGAACTAAAGTTTGTGGGGTTTTTTTTTTGGGGGGGGGGGGGTTTTCATGAAAATCCGTGTATTGAGTATGAATGTTCCATTCCCCAGTGGTTGTCCTAAATTGGCCATAGACATAAGAGAGATCAGATGTTCATTCTCTCTAGAACAATAATTATACTAGCCTTTCTGAACATTTTCAATGCAGAGGAACTCTTGAAATAACTTTCCAGTCTCAGGGAACCCCTACTGAAAATTAGTACATCTACAATTCATAATACATTAGTGTTATGGTCAGTGGAAAGCTTTTGGACATTGGGAAGAATTGCCCCATTAGAGATGGCTAAACAGATCAATGGTGTCAGAGGAAACTTAGCTGACAGACAGAAATTTCTCATTACTCATGTAACCCCTAGAAACCTCTGGAGGAACCCTAGGGTTCCACAGAACCGTGGTTGAGAAAATCTTAAATAAACAAAGGTAGTTACACCCCTCACAGGTGATCAGTTTTTCCTCTGAAATTGGTCAGCAAGGTTGTGTTTGCAATGTCACTTCAAAGAATAGATAAGGTAGTTTTCTGAGCTGATCATACCTTGACCAAATGAGGATCATCTATATGTACCATTCTATTCACATGCTGCAATAACTTTGGTTTCAGATACCATAATCCTTATTTTAGCTAATTATCTGTTACTTTTAACAAAAACCTGAAAATACTCATGTAGGTCAGCTTTACACTTTCTCTGGTAATCTTTGTTGTTTGTATGTGCCACACACACTTTTCCCACTGTATGTTATCTGCTTGGATATTGTTTGGAGTCTTTATTGATTTGACATTTTATCAAGACTAATACAGGGACTACCATTGCTGACCTCCTAGTTCCCTTGCTGTCCCTGTCTTCAACATTGATTCACAGACCAGGAACTAATGTACAAATTAAAAAAGGTAACTCGGACCTCCTGATCTTTATATTTGTTCCAGGTCAACTATTGAATTTGCATTACAGCTAGGCAACTAGCATTTTTAAAAGTAGAGGTCAGCAATGGCAGCCCTATGCAGTACAAGTTCCCTCTGTGGGCTTCATGGTCTTCAAGGTCCACAGTTGTCTAATCTGTGTGCTGAGGAGCAAGGGCTTGTATGTATTTTTATAAGAATAGATTTGCGTTTTTGCTGTGCATATATGCTGTATATATTGTGCATTGTCTGAAACTATTGCACATTGGCTTTAATGAGCAGTTTTCGGTATACCTGAATTGATCTGTCTGTTAGCTTCAATAGATAACCATGAATAAATGATACAAGTGTGCAGCAGCACTTGGTGCATCCAAATGAGCAAGATTATTGTGTCAAAGCAGAGACAGAGATAATCACATCTCCCTCTGCCTTGAGGAAATAAGGGAGTGTTCTGTCACCAGAGAGGAGAACGCAGAGCCACGTCTGCTGTGTTTAGGGAAAATTACTTTAATTAAAAAATGAGATCATTTTTATTAATGCTTAAACCCTTTTCACAGAAGACATATACCGTCTAACAATTTAAATGGTCATTGCAGTTGCGTACATTGACCGTGTCATTGAGATGGTATATACAATTTGTCAAAAAATTTTTTTTTTTAAATAATGTGCTCTTATCAATTTAACCTCCCCATATTCAGCTACTGATTGGTCAGAATGAAGGCTGTGATCATATAACTACCATACACAACATGTCTATATACAGTTTCTGTTATCCTCTGTAATTTGTTTTTTTTTTTTTTTCCATGTGATAAATGCCTATACCTCACACCTTTTTTATTTTTCTATGTGTGTCCTTATCACACTGCAATGCAGCCTGTGTGCAGGCATGCTGCATTTTATAACCACACACTGTACAGGATTGCATGGTACTGTACAGCAGCGCCTTGCATCGCTCTGCTGTACAGAGACCTGAATGAAGTGTACTTTTGTACACTTAAAATAAAGTTCATTGAAAAAAAAAAAGACAGCTGTCTGTTCTGTGTAAATTGAGCCTTAAACACAATGGATAGTCAGACCTCTTGTAGATATGACTACTTTTTGCCAAAATAGAGAGCTATCACAAGGCTGCTATTTTATAGGTACCCTAATGCTATTAAACTCCAACCCCAGAAACTAGGAAATCTTCTTTTGCAGTTGGGCTGCGCCCACACTACAAGGGTTAATTGCTCATTTAGTCTAGGGAAGTGAAGAGATTTTGCTTACCTGTCTTCTGCTCCCCTGACAAATGGCATTCTCCCATGCTACAGCGTTTGGACTGTCCCTTTGTGTCATCACATCCAGTGTAGGGTTACGGACACTGCATTGGCCTTGGTAACATCAGGACCTTAGCGTCTGGCGCATGGGGGAAAAGACACGGTGGGGACTGGTCTAGCAGCGTGAAGGATTAGGAACATAAATCTGCATACATGCAGAGCGTCCCCACACAGTCCCAGTGCAAGGGGATAATCATCAAGTTTGCCTTTAACCGCCTCCCGCCTGCCATATAGTAAAATGACGAACGCAAGGCGGTTCTCTCATTGTGGGAGGATGTCATATGACGTTCTTCCATTATAACCGCGCATGCGCGGCACCGGGGAGCGCGCGGCGATCGGTGGTGCGCTGTGTCCCTCAGACACAGCGGATAACCGATCCACGGAAAGAGCCGAAGCTGTCGGCTCGGTCATGTGACCAGCTGTGTTTAATCACAGCTGATCACATGTAAACAGGGAAATGCCAGTCACGCTGACAGCTTGAGAGGAGAGCCGGTAATGGCATTCCTTGGAGGGGACATGTACACTGATCATCAGGGCACTGATGATCAGTGTGCCCTGATGATCTGTGTATCCCCAGCACTTCCACTTGTCCGTGTCCATCAGTGCCAGCTCTCAGTGCTCATCCATGCCACCTGCCAGTGCCCATCAGTGCCACATATCAGTGCCCATCTGAGCTGCCTTTCAGTGTCACCCATCAATGCCAGTCAGTGCTTCCAATCAGTGCCAGTCAGTGCTGCCTATCAGTGCCATCTATCAGTGCCATATGAGTGCTGCCTTTCAGTGCCCATCAGTGATGCCTGTCAATGTCCATCAGTGCCACCTACCAGTGCCTCCTCATCAGTGCAACCTATCAGTGCCTATCAGTGCAGCCTCATTAACGCACATCAGTGAAGGAGAAAAATCACTTATTTACAAAATTTTATAACAAAAACTAAGAACTTTTTTTTTTTTTTTTCAAAATTTTCAGTGGTTTTTGGTTTGTTTAAGAAAAAATAAAAAACCCAGAGGTGATTAAATACCACCAAAATAAGCTCTATCTGTCACAAAAAAAATGATAAAAATTTCATATGGGTAGTGTTGCATGATCGCGTAATTGTTATTCAAAGTGCAACAGCGCTGAAAGCTGGAAATTGGCCTGGGCAGGAAGGGGGTATAAGTGCCCTGTAGGCAAGTGGTTAACTATTTAAAGACTAAATCTCCTGTTTCATAATTAAGGCAGGTAGACCAGTTCCTCCCAATTCCTGGCAACAAAATCCAAGCTGATTGGTAAATGTTCTGAGCTGAGAGATTAATCCATGATGTGGGGTATATACAGTGGGGATTGAAAGTTTGGGCACCCCAGCTAAAAATTTGTATTAATGTGCATAAAGAAGCCAAGGAAAGATGGAAAAAATCTCCAAAAGGCATCAAATTACAGATTAGACATTCTTTTAATATGTCAACAAAAGTTAGATTTTATTTCCATCATTTACACTTTCAAAATAACAGAAAACAAAAAAATGGCGTCTGCAAAAGTTTTGGCACCCTGCAGAGTTAATATCTTGTACTGCCCCCTTTGGCAAGTATCACAGCTTGTAAAGGCTTTTTGTAGCCAGCCAAGAGTCTTTCAATTCTTGTTTGAGGTATCTTAGCCCAGAAATCTCAAAGAACTGGAAGACTTTTGTAAGGAAGAATGGGCAGTCTGTCACGCACTGCTCTTTTAAGGTCTATCCATAGATTTTCAATTATGTTGAGGTCAGGAGATTGTGAAGGCCATGGCAAAACCTTCAGTTTACGCCTCTTGATGTAATCCCCCGTGGAGAGGTGTGTTTAGGATCATTATCCATTTGTAGAAGCCATCCTCTCTTTAACTTCAGCTTTTTCACAGATGGCATCAAGTTACCATCCAAAATTTGCTGAAATTTTATTGAATCCATTTTTCCTTCTACTCGTGAGATGTTCCCTGTGCCACTGGCTGCAACACAACCCCAAAGCATGATTGATCCAACTCCATGCTTAACAGTTGGACAGAGGTTCTTTTCATTAAATTCTGTGCCCCTTCTCCAAACGTACCTTTGCTCATTCCGGCCAAAAAGTTCAATTTTAACCTCATCGGTCCACAGAACTTGTTTCCAAAATGCATCAGGCTTGTCTATATGTTCATTTGCAAAGTTCAAATGATGATTTTTGTGGTGAGGACGTAGAAGAGGTTTTCTTCTGATGACTCTTCCATGAAGACCATATTTGTACAAGTATCTCTTTATAGTGGAATAGTGTACCACAACTCCAGTGTCTGCCAGATCTTTCTGGAGGGATCGTGCAGTCAACCGTGGGTTTTGAATTGTTTTTCTCACAATCCTGCAAGCTGTTCTGTCTGATATTTTTCTTGGTCTTCCAGATCTTGCTTTAACTTCCACTGTTCCTGATGACTGCCATTTCTTAATTACATTCCGAACAGAGGATATTGACATCTGAAAACGCTTTGCTATCTTCTTATAGCCTTCTCCAGCTTTGTGAGCGTCAACTATTTTCAGTTTTCTAGACAAATGCTTAGAAGAACCCATGGTGCTGATTGTTGGGGCAAGGTCAGATGAGTCTGGGCATTTAAAACCTTTGAGATTGACATCACCTGGTATTCCCAGACGATGATTGAGAACAATCCATGACACTGGCAGGTCTCAGCTTTGCAAAGGGGGCAGTGCATGCTATAAATTCTGCAGGGTGCCCAAACTTTTGCGGATGCCATTTTTTTGTTTTCTGTTATTTTGAAAGTGTAAATGATGGAAATAAAATCTAACTTTTGTTGACATATTATAAGAATATCTAATCTGTAATTTGATGCCTTTTGGAGATTTTTCCATCTTTCCTTGGCTTCTTTATGCACATTAATACAAATTTTTAGCTGGGGTACCCAAACTTTCGATCCTTACTGTACATTCCTGTTATAAGTGAAAGGTTTCTTTCACATATTTGGTATAAATCCATATTGTATATATATAATAATAATAATAAGTGAAAGGTTTTCTTTCACATATTTGGATAAGAGTCAAATCCATGCATCTTTAGTGTAGGTAATGAAGTTGCAGTGTGTAATGTTCATGATTCTTTCTCACATTAGTCATTGTTGACATGAACATTGTTTTTTTTTTAATTTATTTCTTTTTATTTTAGATCCCATCAGAAGGAGACAGAGACTGTGACATGTCTGGGTATGCACACCCGTCAATTTGTTTCCCAGGCACTGTGAGCAGCCGCACCCCCAGCACTTCAGAAGTTGGCGACGAGGGTACAAGTGAAGCCAAATCTCGAGACAACGAGCAGGGTCAGACAGGGCTGGAGAACTCTGAATCCTTGAGTGATTCACTCTACGACAGCCTGTCGTCTTGCGGGAGCCAAGGCTAATAGCGCATTCCTACACCACCTTAATAGTACAAGCTGCCGGACACCTAGATTAACACTGCAGATGTAGACTGACCATACCGGCTGCCTGTGGGTGCTATTCTATGTGGAGTCTTTGTCCTTTTCATGACCATGTTGCTCCTCTAGAAAGACCTTGTCCATCCCACATGAGCCTCAATAACCCCAAGTATTAGCAACATACTAGAGTCTTGTTGCCTCAGACCTTACAGGTAAAAGTCCTGATATCCCGCGGAACTGTTGCCTCAGCCTTTGCCTGATTCTCTCCCAGTCTGCGGTGGGTCCTGTGGTTTACTCCCCTATTTCATAGGTTGCCATCGTTCTTGTATTATTTTGTTTTTGTTGTGTCATCTATGGGTTGCCCCTTTACTATGCATCTATACCACCAGCTTAATCAATGTTCTTTACAGCAGGAAGACTGGTGAAGGGGGAGTTCACGGGTTACTAGATTACCTCACATCTCCGTCTTGCTAATCAGTACCCCAGTTATGTGTTAATGCACTGATCCAGAAGCTGAATACCACCTCTTAATAATTTTTATCAGGGAGCATGTCTGGGAAGGAAGAAGTTCTTTTTCAGCTGCCTATCTGGAGTTATTGTGATCATATTAGGGAGTATTGACAAGTTTGACCGGATGTGACACTTGCTTCCGTGACCCCTAGATTTTTTTTTTTTCCTTTTTTTATTTTGGTTTATACTTGTGCTGTTTTATATAAATATATATTTTTATTTGTGTAAATGTTTAGTTTTTACTTTCCTTTTTTATGCATTGTGTTGTTTTTATTTCAATGCTGTTGCTCTCAAGATGGTGCTAACCAGGAAAAATATTCTTTGTCAGGTTTTTTCTCTCCTTTTTTCTTTTTTTTTTTTTTTTTTTTTATATCATTCTTTGTCTTATTTATATAAGTTATTGTGACTGTTTTTCTGCCTCACTTTCCTTTAAGCTAAAATAAAAAAAATCGAAATATATGTTTCAGTTGTATGTGTCCTTTTTTGACAACTGTCTTACTTTTAATAATGCATATGTACTTGTTTGAAATGTCAGTAACTGGTTTATGAAAAATTATCCTTCAATATAATTTACAAATATATCCATATTTTGAAACTCAGAATTATAAAATGTTAACTGTTGTACATGCGAGAAAATTTCCCTTAACAGAGGGTGTCCTATAAATTGTGGACCTGTAACTCCTGATAATAACATGAAGCAATACATTGTATCTAGAACAGAAATGTCATATTTTGCAGTTTTCAGTCCTTACATGTGGTGGCTGCATTAATTTTTTTTTTTTTTTTTTCTTGACAACCTTTGCTGAACACACTGTATCTGTGGAGTTGCAGCATTTTTCCCTAGGCTTTTCATTCCTAGATTGGACTACATATCACTTCCCCCTCCTTTTGTCTCCATAATATAGGGAGGTAGAGTTCTGTATTTCAGAGTTAATCTGGGTAAAGATGAAAAACACTGCTTAAGATTTGCACATGAACTTATGAGTTTACAGGATTTTGGTAGGATCCACAGGTATTTTGTAAGTACCTTTTGAACAGGTAACATACACTCTAAAGCGGTAGTAAACTACTGCTAAACTAAACTACCGTTTAGAAAAAAAAAATAATTTCCCCTGCAAGTTAAAGGCATAATGTGCTATTATGCATTGCATACTAGCACATTGTGAATGACTTGCCTTGAAACAAAGCCTTCCAGCACCGCGCTGTCACCACTGCAGAGGTTCCCATCTTCACCCGGTCTTCCTTCCGGGTTTGCAGTCTGTGGACACTTGAATGGTCGAGCCGCAATATCACTCCCGCACATGTGTGAGGGAGTCATGGCCATGGCACAGAGCTCTGAAGGAATGGCATGGGTATACCGCTCCTTCAGAGTGCATGCATCAGTGATGTTACCGGCTGCCAACCAAGCGAATATCTCCTAAATGGTGTACATTTAGGGGATATTAATTTAACCAACAGGTAATCGTTATTATACAGTGCATCTAGAAAGTATTCACAGCTCTTAACTTTTGCCACATTTTTGTTATTTTACAGCCTTATTCCAAAATGGATTAAATTCATTTTTTTCTTCAACATTCTAAAAACAATACCCCATAATGACAGCATGAAAGAAGTTTGTTTTGAAATCTTTGCAATTTATTAAAAATAAAAAAATGAAGAAAACACACGTACACAAGTGTTCACAGCCTTTGCTCAATACTTTGTTGAAGCACCTTTAGCACCAATTACAGACTGAAGTCATTTTGAGTACATAGTTACATAGTTAGTATGGCTGAAAAAAGACAAAAGTCCATCCAGTTCAACCATTTAAATAAAAAAAAGTTCTAATCCTATACCCACAGTTTTTACAGAGGAAGGAAAAAAACCCAGCAAAGCATGATCCAATTTGCTCCTGCAGGGAAAAAAATTCCTTCCTGATCCCCCGAGAGGCAATCTGATATTCCCTGGATCAACTTTACCTATAAATGTTAATATCCAGTTATATTCTGTGTATCTAAGACAGAATCCAGGCCTTTTTTAAAGCAATCCACTGAGCTGGCCAGAACCAACTCTTGAGGGAGTCTATTCGACATTTTCCCAGCTCTCACGGTGAAGAAACTTTTTCGGTGTTTTGGAGATTAAATTTCTTTTCCTCCAGACGTAAAGAGTGCCCCCTTGTCCTCTGTGATGACCTCAGGGTGAATAACTCTACACCGAGTTCACTATATGAACCACTGATGTATTTATTCATGTTGATTTTATTCCCCCTTAATCTCCTCTTCTCAAGAGAATAAATGCAGTTCCTCTAATCCTTCCTCATAGCTGAGCTCCTCCATGTCTCTTATCAGTTTAGTTGCCCTTCTCTGTACTTTCTCTAGTTCCCCAATGTTCTTTTTGTGAATTGGTGCCCAAAACTGAACTGCATATTCCAGATGAGGTATTACTAATGATTGTACAGGGGTAATATGATATCTCTCTCTCTGGAGTCTATACATCTTTTAATACAAGAGAGGATTTTGCTGGCTTTAGAAACTGCAGCTTGGCATTGCATGCCATTATTAAGCTTGTGATCTACCAGAACTCCCAGATCCTTCTCCACGATTGGTTCCCCAGTTGTATTCCCCCTTAGTATGATGCTAGAAGCTTGGCACACCTATTTTTTGGCAATTTATCTCATTCATCTTTGCAGTACCTCTCAAGCTCCATCAGGTTGGATGGGGAGCGTCGGTGCACAGCCATTTTCAGATCTGTCCTGAGATGTTCAATCGGGTTCAAGTCTGGGCTCTGGCTGGGACACTCCAGGACATTTCACAGAGTTGGCCTGTAGCCACTCCTTTGATATGTGGGCTGTGTGCTTAGGGTTGTCGTCCTGTTCAAAGATGAACCGTCGCCCCAGTCTAAGATCCAGAGCGCTCTGAAACAGGTTTTCATCAAGGATTTCTCTGTACATTTCTGCATCCATCTTTCCTTCAATCCTGCCTAGTCTCCCAGTTCCTGCTGCTGAAAAACTTGCCAGGTGGTAAGCGGTGCCTGGTTTCCTCCAGATGTGACACTTTGCATTCAGTCCAAAGAGTTCAATCTTTTGTTTTATCAGACCAGAGAGTTTTGTTTCTCATGGTCTGAGAGTTACTTTTGGCATACTCCAGGCGGCTGCCATTTGCCTTTTACTGAGGAGTGGCTTCCGTCTGGCCACTCTACCATACAGGCCTGATTGGTGGAGTGCTGCAGTGACGGTGGTTCTTCTATAAGGTTCTCCTCTCTCCACAGAGAAACGCTGGAGCTCTTTCTGAGAGTGACCATCGGGTGATTAGTTACCTCCCTAGCTAAGGCCCTTCTCCCTCGATCGCTCATTTTGGCCAGGCGGCCCTTTCTAGGAAGATTCCTGGTGTTCCAATCTTATTCCATTTACGGATGATGGAGGCCACTGTGCTCGTTTGGTCCTTCAATGCTGCAGAAATTTTTCTGCACCCTTCCCCAGATCTGTGCCTTGATACAATCCTGTCTCAGAGATCTACGGACAATTCCTTGGACTTTCATGGCTTGGTTTTTGCTCTGACATGCACTGTTAACTGTGGGTCCTTGTGTAGACAAGTTAATGCCTTTCTGAATCATGTCAAATCAAGTTGTGGAAACATCTCAAGGATGATCAGTGGGAACAGGATGCACCAGAGCTCAATTTTGAGTGTTATGGCAAAGGCTGTACATGTGTTTTTATTTTTGTTTTTTTATTTTGAATACATTGCAAAGATTTCAAAACTAACTTCTTTCATGAAATCATTATGGGGTATTGTTTGTAGAATGTTGAGGGAAAAAAAAATGAAATATTCTGGGGTTTACTACATGCAAGAAGTCCGTTTGTGTTGCTTTTTGTTTTTGTATCTGTAATTTTTTGGAGTTGACACATGATTTCTGAAGACAGATTTAGATTGAGTCTGCTCCATTTCTCTAAAACATAAGCTTACCCATAGGTCTGCAAGAAGAAATCTGATTACCTTTTGGCATACAGATAGCCCAGCAATTATATTAGCAGGATCGTTATCTCTGGCAAAGCATTTGTTTGGGGAGAAATGTCTGCCAATGCCATGTATCTAATAGTAGAACAGCAGCAATTATTCTTTTGACTTAATTAACACCAATAATCTTTAAAGCCGGCTATACACTGAGCAAATTTCCTCCAGTTCCTAATGAAAAAATCAAAGAAGCCTGGCAGAAATTGTAGCTGCACAACACCTGCGTTCACATGCAGGCACTTGTTGAGTATTCTGACAGCCAGTGGTACTGGATGTCCGAATAAAATAGCTGCAGTAGGAGGTTCATCCATCCACACTGTTTAGCATAGAATCTGTTAATTTCCTTTGTTTAGTTATTCTAACAATCTTTTAAAATAGATTTTTTTTAAATGTCTAACCAGACTAAAGACCATTTTTTAATTTTGCATGGTCTTCCCATATACTAATGAAAATGCTTCCAAGTATTCCCCACTATGCTACATCCAA